CTCAATTGCATCAGAGCAATGTGCGTCGTTACTCTAGGGTTCTACATCAATAATTTTGATTCAAGTAAGGAAAATAATATATACAAATTATTAATAAAAAATTAAAATACTTTTTAAAGTTTTTATTTTTTATTAAAAAATCATTTCTTTTATTAAATTCTGCGAATACTAATTCCAATCTCTACTTAAAAACAAGTGCCTGAACTGAACATAAGGGATGTGCTTAATTATAAGAAATAAGACAAATAACATCATGTTTTCTCATTTGCATAAGAAGTCCAAGACAGCAACTTGAGTACCCTTTATCCCATATACAACTTTGTCGATTATTGAGGATTTTGAAACCACAGAGTTAGAACAACTATCCGAGTAAAAAACATATGCAATAGTCTTGACATCTCTAAATGCATTAAAATTGCCATGTCTATTTAGGGGATTTTTCAATACAATCTATTAGTTATTCATACACACTATTGAAATTTCAAAAATATTCTTTGATTTTGGATTTTAAATTTTGGACGCATCGAAAATAAGTAATAGATTTTGAAGACAATTTTTTTTCTCATCCTTGTGTGTCTCACACCTCTGAAAATTTTAAATTGTTCTCAGAAATTTTTGAAAATGAATCTCCGAACGCATCTTATTCTATTTTTATCAAAAATTGGTTCGGAGATGCATCTCCAAAATTTATCAGAGTGAATTCAAAGATGTATCTCCGAAAATACTCATGACCCCATTTACTACACGTTTTTCATTAAAATTGGCGCCATTATCGGAACTTTATGTCGATTTTAACTAATATTAGAGTCATAAGAATTGTATCATCGTGTTCTGACTCTTTCGTTCATGTGTTTCTGGCCTTTACGCGATCTAGCGTAAAAAACTCGATTTTCTAAAAAATCGACTCTAAATCAAAATTTTAGTGTCATTTCATCAGAAAAATCGGGGATCAGAGTCTCTTATTGTGAGAAAAATATGGAACACCACCTTAAAAATCTTAAATTCATTGTTTTTCTATTTTATTTGATTTATTTTTTATTTGGGTTAAATATGTTTTTGATTTCTACAAAATTATCAAATTTGATTTTTAGTTCCTATAAAAAAATGTCACGTTTTAATCCCTACAAAATTATTTATGCATGTAGTTTTAGTCCTTGTAGAAGAACTAAAATGTCATGCATAAATAATTTTATAGAGACTAAAATGTGACATTTTTTTATAGGGACTGAAAGTCAAATTTGAGATATTTATAAGAACCAAAAACATGATTAACTTTTTTATTTTTATATTTTTGAAAAAAATCGGAAAAAAAAATTATAGACACTTAATTTAACTTTATTTGATTTTTAGTTGTATATTCAAATTTTTATAATTTTTTTAATCGTTTTTCTATTTTTTTCAATTGTTTTTCTTAATAGGGACATTATTGGTATATACATATTTGTTGCATTGTTGATGCATGAATACTAGGTCTATCTATCCGAAAACACCCAATGTTAAATAAAAAAAAAAAACACAATAGGACACTTTACGGATATGCATATACGAAAATACTATTTTTTATTTTAAAAAAATAGTTTGTCCAGAGATGCATCTCAGAAATTATTTATAATAGAGTGACCCACTCATTTGCGTTCAATTTTGTGGGAAATAGGTGCGTCCGGAGATGCATCTCCGAAAATTGAGGTATTTTTAGATTTTCACCGAGGATTTGTGAAAAGGTATAAGGGCGGAAAATAAATTGTCAACTCTGAAGTGCATCAAAGCAAATGTTAAAAAGGGATCTAGATTTAGGGCTCCATACGCGTTCCACCACAACGCACCCAAAGTAAATCTCCCATGATGTTCAAGAATTTGTCTGAATGTCAAACCTAGATTCTTCAGCGATATACGAGTAATTTTAGATATATATTAAAGCACATGATAATGTATCCATATTACAACATAGTTGAAAATATAAATCCAACATTACATATAAAAAATGTGTCATCATCTAAATGAAGGAAAATTGCGATCAAAAGCGCAGCGAAATTTAAAATTTTCCTTTAGCGATCCTTACGAATAAGCATGGTCAGTGATAGAAATATTTACCTCTTGTGGCGATTCAGACCATTGATGTTGTGATCACGAGCGTTGATGAAGAACAACGCCTCTACTCAGTCCACACGAACAAATCGCTTTCGGTCACAGTGCTAGCTGATCACGAACAGAAACCTTGAGTGAGAGAGAGAATCAAAAACGAAATTGCATCAAGTGAAATTGCTTCATCATAAGGAATCTATTTATAGAATTACTCGTGTAGGATACAAGCTAAAAGCCCAATTAAGCTTATGGACATCATACCTTATGATATACCATATATCACTTATCCACGTGGTACCTTACCACTTTTCGTATTACACTTAAGTGCACCGTACCTTACGGTGTTCCTTATTTATTCTATCTCTCATCAACCTGTCCTTATGTGTGTGACCCTGTAGGTTTTCGCGACGTTGGCAATTATATTAAATCACACATTTAATATAATAAACAGTAAGCGATATCTAGCAACACATCACTGTTATCCAAGTCACGAAAATGTCATGTGATCTGACCAAACCTTTTCCGTGATAATATTTGTGTTGTACAATTACCCTTTTGCCCTCATGTCTATATTGAACACAAGGCATACACTGTGTCACCCTTGTCCAGTTCAATATTGGGCCCTTAGACATTTATCCGGTTATGCAGGATGAGCAAATTCCATCTAGGTCACTCATGTCCCTTAGCATGCTTTGTGAAGTACCCATCAACCGTCTTTATAGTCATCCAGTTACGAATGACGTTTGATCAGCAATAAAGTACTTAACTCTACATCTAGGGTCCATAGTGGTTTCAGGTCGAAGGGTGGTATACACCATTATCATCATGAGAATAACTTATGACACTTTGCATAACATTCTATGTAGTATTCTCATAGCGGGTCAATCCAGTATAAATATTACTCCTAATATTCATACCTATGTCAAGACTTGATAACTCCTTATCTATGATCCATGAGATGTGATCATCAATCTATCTTCATAATAATCTTAATGTTTTAATATTATCCCACTTCACATTAAAGCTTGACTACGGATACTTTAAGAATAGTGTCTTATGTTTAATGGGATCTCATGATTAAGTCATACTTAACATTTCATTAAACAAATAAACCATTCTAGGGACTTTATTATTTTAGAAAGCAAACATAATAAAGAAATGCCTTTTATTATTAATAAATAATTCGATACAAGTACCAAAAGTATTGGCCTCTAGGGCTTACACCAACACTAAATGCATTGAAAGATAAAACTAAAATGTATCAAAATGTGGCATCGCCTGAGTTTATATCTATGGGTGATTCCACATTTGATTTTTACTCATTTGTTTCTCTTTAAATTTTGCTCAACATGGTAAACTATTCCATCCAATCCAAAAAATTATATGGCCAAGTTTCAGCTTCTTTTGCGGAATAAGATATCCACTCAGAGGATGTTTGTGGTATAATACATCTCAATTTCAAATAAAATTGAATAAAATATTGTGATTTTGAAAGTCATCTAATAAACATAATGTGTCCGACTAGATTTTAAGGTGGGTCATTTCGAAGTAGAAAAATATTTTCGAGGAACCATATCTTGTCAGATCAATACACACCATGTTATATGCATTTGCTATAAGATAACATATTTGAGGGAAACACATTCATTTTTCATTCGGTGTGGATTGCTAACACAAGGAATAATATATGCATGAATTTCATCGAACTGTTCTTTTTTTCCCATATAGCGTTGTGTATGATTTTTTATGCGCCTTTAACTCTATGTTATGATGTTGGCGGACAAGTGTATTATTCTCCTCTCTCTTACTTAGCAAAGCTAAAACAACATTATAATTGTACTTACTGTCACCTTAACATTTACAATTTGGTTAATGTATTTGTGCATAAAAATCGACATCTCTTCAATGTGTATCATTTTTTGTAAAGGTGGTGAGGGTGATAAAAGTGGTGAAGGCGGTGGTTTACTGATGTGAGCACTTTGATTAAAAAAAATTTGGATTGTGAAATTGGAGAGTCCGCAAAAAGTGTGTCAATATGTTCGAAATAGGATGGAGACTATTTGGTTAACTTGTCACTCGGTGTTGCTTTGACCTTCTTGGGAGTATCCTTTGTTAGGGGTGTTCAGATCCAAACCAACCCAATAAAAAACTACAAACCAATCCTAACAAAACCGAAAACCACAAAAAACTGCATTTGGTTCGGATGCGTTTGGGCCATTTTTTGACAGAACCATGCAGTTTGGTTTGGTTTGCGGTTTTATATTTGTAAATTGATCTGATCCGAACCAAACCGTGATATTTACGAACTTGCTTATTATTTACTGAACAGGCCCAATACTTAACCGATCCAAATCCAATACCCAACTTGTTTCACCTTTTTGCTAGGGTAACGTTATTGTTGAACGAAGAACAGCGAACAAACAACAAAGTGAACATGCCCACCACCTTGTTGAATGAAGAAAGGAGGACAAATCGAACTCGAAGAACATCAGCGAAATCTGAAAGCAGTCAGGTAACGTTATTGTTATCTTTGATTCTTTTGTTCGAAATCTTATGTTTGAAAATTTGTTCGAAAACCTGTTTGTAAATCTTATGTTCTTCAACAATAAATCTGTTCGAAATCTATAATTTTTATGTTCTTCAACAATCGAAAATCAGTGATTTTTTTATGTAATGTAATCTTCAACAATTCGAAATTTGTAATTCGAAAATTAGTAATTTTCTTCAACAATTCAAAATCTGTAATTTTTTCCTGATATGTAATCTTTTGCAATCAAAGCTTTCATTTTTTATCTAACTTGTTTCACCTTCATGTTAATTTTTATCTAGCATTGTTCATGTTATACTTGTTAGCCCTTGGTTTATGTTTTATTTTCATCTCTTTTTTTCTAATATATTGTCTCCTCTATTTCTTAGATATGACTATTGATAAAAAAGTTAATTCTGTTGCTGGCTCTGATGCTTCCTTTTCCGAAAATCAGGTAAAAATAATGATAAATTAGTGTATTTGATAAATGTTAAGTTCGTGATTGGAACTTATCTAATAGCTATAGTAAAGTGGTTATATTTACAGTGTGTTATGTATTTTCAGTCTCAAAATAGTCCACTGACGCCTACAACAAACCAACCCCAAACTATTGATTTGGACAAACAAGAAGGCGACAATGTTCAATACAAAAAGAAAAGGAAAGTTAGAGAAGAAGATGATTCTAAAGTTGGTGATTCTAATGCTGGAGATTCAGGTAAACAAAAATCTAGTATGCCTAAATCTTGGGTTTGGGATCAGTTTACAAGAGATGAATCGGGTACTCGGGCTAAATGTAATTGGTGTACAAAATCTTATGCGGATGATTCACATAAGAATGGAACCTCAAATTTAAATAATCATTTGATGCATCAATGTAAAATATTCCCAAACATGTTCTTGATCCTAGTGAAACCACTCTTAGCCTTCAAGAAGGCTCTAAAGGAAATAGTAATGCACTTGTTGGTATCCACTTCGATGTTGAATTGTGTAGACGAGCTTTAGATAGAATGATAATCATGGATGAATTTCCTTTTTCTTTTGTTGAGAATGAAGGATTCCGTCATTTTATGAGTGTTACACAACCTAGGTTCCCACTTCCAAGAAGGATCTCAATTGCTAGGGACTGTTTGAGTCTTTACGTAAGTGAGAAACATAAGTTAAGAAGCATGTTTACTAAGACAAATTAAAGTGTTTGTCTAACAACTGATTCTTGGACTTCTGTGCAAAATATTAATTATATGGTTCTTATTGCGTATTTTCATTGATCAAGACTACAAGTTGCATAAAAGGATTCTCAGTTTTTGTCCAATAACTTCTCATAAGGGAGATATAATTGGGAAAAAGATTGAAAAGTGTTTGGAGGATTGGATGATAGATAAGGTTTTCACCATCGCAGTTGATAATGTTGCTTCAAACTATGTTGTTATCGCTTACCTAAAAAATAGAATGGAGGATTGGAATTCACATCCATTAAAAGGGGAGCATTTACATATTAGATGTTGTGCTCACATTCTTAACCTTGTTGTCAATGATGGGTTAAAGTTGAAGCACGTGCATTCTTCACTTTCCAAAATTAGGAGAGTGATTCGGTATGTTCGTCAGTCACCTGGTTATTTAGATAGGTTTAATACATTTATTAAAGAAGTTAGGATACAAGATAAGTCTACTGTGTAGTATGATTGTCCCACTAGGTGAAACTCCGTATACCTTATGCCTGAAAGTGCATTGAAGTTTCAAAAGGCCTTTAAGATATTAGGTGAGAAATGTGTTGAGTATGTGATGTTGGAAGTTGGTGCCCTAAATAATGAGGATTGGGATAATGCCAAGTGTTTTGTGAGATTCTTAAAGTTTTTTTTTGAAATCACTACAAAGGTGTTAGGTTCTACTTATGTAACATCTTCTACTTATTCCATGGAACATTGTATGATATTGGGGGCATTAAAGACTTGGAAGGAATGTCATAAAGATGACCTATTACTTATAAATATGGCTAATGCTATGGATGATAAATATAGTACTTATTGTGGAGAAGTCAAAAAGATGAATATGCTAGTCTTTATTGCTATAATTTTTTATCCTCGATGTAAGTTTCAATTTATTAGGTGGGGATTGGATAAGTTTTATAAGAAGGAAGTTGCTGATTTTTTGTGTGATAAGGTGAAACAAACATTAAACAAAATGTTTGAAAGTTATAGTATTTTCTTAAGTAAAGACTAAGCTGAAAGTGTTGCACAAGAAATAGAGCTATTAGAAGTTGTTACATCTTCTGATCATACGAATGATCAATTTGAGAAGGACATGGACCAAGATTCAAATTTAAATAAAAATGAAGTGGATTCATATCTCATGGAGACGAAGGAGAAGAAAAGTCCAGATTTTGACATCTTGAATTGGTGGAAGGTAAATCCCACCAAATACCTTACTCTTGGTTTAATAGCTAGAGATAACTTGGCTATGCCAATATCCACTGTTGCTTCGGAGTCAGCTTTTAGCACTGAAGGTAGAGTTCTTAGTTGTTATAGGAGCTCTCTTACACCCCCACACTGTTGAAGCTTTAATATGTGCACAAAATTGATTAAGATCCTCTCCTTTGAAAGTGGATATTGAAGAGCACATGAAAGACTTGGAGAAACTCGAACAAGGTATATGTTGTAAACTTTGTTCATGAATCTATTTTATTCAATTGTTTGTTTTGTCTAACGTTTGGTAATATATTTGATCATTTTTAGAAATGGCTTCAATCCCACAAGTAAATGAGGGACTTTCTGATGTTGAATCTGATTAGAGACATGCTTGAAAAAAATGGTATGTTTTATTTGGAGTAGATTGTTTTTGTTTTTGTTTTGTCTATAATTGGTTTTTGTTTATAGTGTTATATGGGTTTTGAAGGTTATAACTATTTGAAACTTGCAACTTGATTTGTTAATTTTGAAGGATATAAATGTTGGTCGATATTTATATCCTAAGTTAATTTTGGAGCACATGCAGGGATTGAGATTGGTTATGGCATGGTTTTACTTTTTATAGCAGATTTTGGAATGCAAACACTATTGTTTTTTCTGGTAGCCTTTAGTTGTTTCCCTTGATTGAACTACTTTATTGAGTTACAATACGTGTTTAGATTGGAAAATTACGGATGCTAGTTATTTTCTTTTGTTTCTTAAGTTGCAATTTCTGATAGCTACTTTTAATTGAGAAATTGATTAACTAGTTTAAAATAAATGATGCAAACTTGGAACCACCAAAAATACACTTTTACTCTTTAATGAATGAGTATTTTTTACGAGAAAACTCCACTCATTTCCACTGCAATATTGCAATCCAATATTTATAACTATTTTCAACTTGATTTGTGTTTTGAAGGTTATTGCTTGAAGGTGATTTGTAACTTGGCAACTCAGTCCAAGAAACAAGAAAAAAAATAAGAAATAGATTATTAGTGCTTTTGATGGCTTTAAAGTCCTTCGTTTAAATACTATTTTGATGGTTAATTTATGTGTTGAAATGAATACTACTTTGATGATTAATTTGATGCTTTTGATTATTAGTGATTGAATACTACTTTGATGGTTAATTCATATATTGAATACTATTTTCATGTCAACTATTTTGAATATTGCATTTGATTGTATACTATTTTAATTATTTTCAAATTGTGTGCAAGAAGAAAAAACTCACAGTAGTGTCAAATTGTGAGAATATATGAAAGATAATTGTAACAACATTAGTGTTACCGCATGTGAGTAATTATGTGTTATGTATTTATACATTATAAAAAAATTGAACCAATCCAAACTACATTGGTTTGGTTTGATTTGGATTTTTTTTCAATCAACCGAACCAAACCGAACCGCATACTTTTTTCTCTTGTGATTCAGATGATTTTTTTCTTCAAAACTTCTCAAACCGCACCGCGAACACCCCTATCCTTTGTTTTTATTGTTTCTGCGAGTGGTTTCAAATTTGTTGTTTATGGACAAACAATGTTCCTCAACTACTTTTTGATGTGAAGTTTCTTGTTATCACCAACTTTCAAAAATATCTCTTGAATCACCTCCTTTTTTTAAATAGGTATATTTTATTTACTCTCTTTCACAACAACATCATCATCAAACCACAGTCTTTTCTAGTGCAACTAAACATCATCCATACGTATGGGCCTATTAAGTTTCATCTTTGTAAAAATTAAACAAGAACACAAAAGACCATACATCCTCTTAAGTTTACAACCACACTTTAAGCTATCTAAATTTGTTTTCTCTATTCCCTTAGTTTCAAGATAAATAAAATTCAATCTCGCTCGAGATATATTACTGACCAAGTGTGAATAAATATTGTTGTCTATGAATCGGTTTATTAATACTGTGATGCTTCGAACAAATGATGTTTGAATCTTATTATGTTGATTTTGAATCATTTTCTTCATTGAGTTCCAACTAGTACACAAATCCCCCTTACTATTTTCCATTCAGTTCTTCAATGTAGCATGAGTATATTCAACTCTATTAATTGAAGTATTTTCAAAGTGTCTAACCAGATCGAGCATAGAACAAACAATATTTTCCTACGCATGTTCTAGAATTGTGCTTTCAACATATTTAAAGAAATTCTTATATGCCATAGAAACCCTTTTGAATTGTATCACAAATTTGACATATAACTCCTCATTAGAAGAATTTATTACAATGTTCTAAACATCCATTATGCTTTACAATATCACACCAGATTTGACCATTTTATCGTCTTCACCATTGATTTTTTTGTCCCTTCAACAAACATAAGTCTACCTGTGAGATATTGGATCGAACTCTATTGGATCGAAGTGTAGCTTCTAATTCGACAGGGAATAAGCATGAGGTTGAAGCGTGTTAGCATGTTGATGTCAAAGTAGTGCATGTTATAGTCGAAGTTGTTCTAACATGCATTAGTCGAAAATGCTAGATTTGTTAGTATGGCTAATTGGGCATGTTTGTTATGTCCAATTGTTTAAGTTAGCTTGAATCCTAAGTTAGCTTGTATTGGATATTTGTGAAAAGGCCCATTAGTTTAGTATGTTAGGTTTATTATAAATAACATACTAGTCTCTCATCATTGCATACAGAGAATCCTAATTTAGGGTGAGAGAGTTATTTGTTATTCTTGTGTACTTGTAATCTTGTTTGAAAGAGAAAGTAAATAATAGTAGTTAATAACCAATTCCTTGTGTTCTTCTTGCTTTCCTGATTAATACCTCGTGGGTTTCTTGCCTCAAAGAAACTCGTTATACTCTATTCTTGGTATTATTTTCACAACAAATTAGTGCAGTGAGCATGGACAAGATGCCTTCAACAAAGTATTAGATTGAAAAGTTCACCGGAGTGAACGATTTCAGTCTGGGGCACTTGAAGATGAAAACCTTACTGGTTCATCAGGGTTGTTTGGAAGCGTTGAAGGGAGAGGTGGCTATGATGTTGTGTTAACGGAGAAATAAAAGTTGACCATGATAGAGAAAGACCACATCACAATCTTGTTGAGCCTTGGTGATACGGTTCTTCGACAGTTATCAAAGGATACAATGACATCATGGTTATGGATGGAACTTTAAAGTTTGTACATGACCAAATCGCTAGTAAATCGAGTCTATCTGAAGCAAGCTTTGTATTCATTCAAGATGATTAAAGATAAAGTGTTGGCTGGGCAGTTGGATATGTTCAACAAGCTGATTCTTGATCTTGAAAATATTGATGTGAAGATCGATGATGAGGATCAAGCTCTGTTGTTGTTATGCGCTTTTCCCAGAACACATGCTCACTTCAAAGAAACTCTCTTATATGGAAAGGAGTCCTTGGCCTTTGAAGAAGTTTAATCAGCCTTGTATTCTAAGGACTTAAACGAATGAAAGGACCATAAACCTTCTACAGTTGGTGAAGGTTTGGCCGTTAAGGGAAAATTCTTACGAAAGGATGGTAAGTTCGACAAGAAGAAAGGTAAAAGTCAACATAAGTCTTATAGTGGCGAAGCAT